TATATATATATATATTAAAGTGACACTAAACCCAGGAGTTTAATCTTAAAGAATGCATTTAAGTACCTTAACTATTATTAAGAAAAATGTATTTTATTTGTGTATCACTGTCGGCTGTAGATCCTCAAATCATCTCTGAATTGGTGCTGACAATGTCCTTCCTTCCGGAGGGTGGCTACTTTTCTTCCCCATGGTCCCTGTGTGTGTTGAAAAGTAGCCAACGCTTCAAGCTCGCTCCTGTGATAGACTAGAACTCCAATACAAATTAGCAAATTAAATGTGAAATTGTAGTCCATGAACTTAGTGCGGTGGCTACTTTACAACACATAGCAATCACGGGGAACAAAAGTAGCCACCTTCCAGAAGGAAGGACAGTGTCAGCACCAATTCAGGGATGATTTTAGGATCTACAGATGAGTAATACACAAATAAACTAAATTTTTGTTAATAGTTAAAGGGTTTCTAAACCCTCCGTTTTTTTTTTGCATATATCTACTGCTAGCAAGCAGTAGATACAGTGTATATGCAAAAAGTAAAAAAAAAAAACGCTTTAAAAGCGTTTAAACTTACCCCTGTCTTCGCTGCGCGCTCCCGTCTGAAAATCCGAAAATGCTCGGGCGGGCGCATGCGCAGTTCGGATTTTCAGCCGGGAGACGAGGAGAGACACAAGGTAAGTCTATGGACGTGTGCACCCGCATGCAGACACCATGGGACAGGAAGTGCCAGCAAGGACAGAGGAGTCAGTGCTGGATCGGAGACCCGCAGCAGCGCTGGAGAGAAGGCTGAAAAGGACAGGAAAGAAAAGTAACATCAGATTAAGAGACATCATTTAAGGTAAGTGCTTTAATTAACATTGGGAGAGGGAAACAAGTTTTTGACTTTAATGTCACTTTAAGGTGTTTGAATGCATTTGTAAGATTTAACTCCTGAGTTTAGTGTATTTAAGTAATTGGAAAGTAATTACGAATTCTACCAGATTAAAAAGATAGTTCTATTCAGAAAAATGTGGAACCTTTTTCAATAAGCCCTAAAAAGGGTTACTACTCCCAAAACTTATATTTTATTAATTGAAGAGGCCTGGTGGGCAGAGTCAGCTGCCAGCTTTTTATGTCTTGGATACTCTAACAGTAAGATCTCCCTGCCACAATTCCTGTTCCTGTGCTCCTGGGAGTTTTGAGTGTTGTGTGTTCTGTACCCCCTTATTGCATTCTCATAAAATAAACAATAAAAATCCAAAAAGTGGGAGATCCTCATAATGACCACAGCAAGTGTGCAGAACTCGTAACTCAAGTGAGGAGATCTCTCCAATAGAGGCCAATCATTACCTGAAAGTTTCTGTCAATTAACCAGTTTGTTTCAAAGTCATCATCATCTTGTCCAAATGGGTTGATCAGCTGTTCTGCCACCTGTACAAAGACAGAGGAACTTTCTAATTTCATTCTTTATTAAAGATTAGAACGTTCCTATCTACCTGCATAAAAACAGAACTGAGTGTGCAGTATAAAAAAATATTAACTTTACCTTTAACCAACCAGCATAGAAAAAGAATTGCAGCAGGGTAAATACAGGGACATACAGATCTAGTTCATGGCCAGGGTAGCCCATTTTAGGGTCTAGGAACTGACGGCCAATTAGGCAAGCCAGGAAAAAGCTGTATACAGCCACTGTAACAACCTAGGAAATAAAAATATGAATGTAGGGAGGATTTGCAATGAAATATTTAGCACATTTGAAGTATACACAACACAGAAATAGGAGGGAGGGTAAAAGAAGGTACCTGAGTATACACCAATGGAATACTGATCCAGTCATAGGCAAACAACCTTCCACACTGCGTGCGCAGAGCATTCAGTTCCTGAGCCAGCCAAGAGAAGACAATACAGAATTAGTTAATGCGAACAGCCATGTAACTTCAATATATGTAAATGAAAATAAAGGAAAGCTGGTTATTGATGCTTCAGTACATAAACCTTTTAAGGGCCGATGTTCATTCTGAAAGGGGGTGATATCCACAATACTAGTAATAATGGTCCCATACAATTCAGTTGTCCCTTACAATATAGTATCAGCTTTTTTTACATGGCAGTGTCTGGATCTGGTAACTGGACGCCAGGGCCCTAGCACCATAAGGTGCTTAGCTACACGTGGAAGCCCTGGCCTGTTACTGAAGGTTCTGGCAGTCCAGGGAGGTGGCAAAGGAGCGTGGCTGGGAGACAGCATTTGTTTTATTTTATATGCTTTTTTTTACATATGCATGCTTGTACTTTTCAGAGGTCCGATATTGTTCTATGTACAATCCTTGTTTTATTGATTGCATGTAATAATCTACTTTTTTGAGGTTGTGGATTTGGGGTTCTTGGGGTTTTCATGAGCTGTAAGCCATAATCTTCAGAATTATGACAAATCACAGCTTGAATTATCTTGCTTTGCATGTAATGAGTCTATCTCATATATTAGTTTCACCTTTTAAGTTGCATTAGTGAAATAAATGAACTTTGCACGATATTCTAATTATTTGAGTTTCACCTGTATATGTAAACCTCACTATATCCCCTTATAGTGTCTACGTTCCTCTATTCTTATTATTATTTCCCTCATGTGTTCACTAGTGTGATAGCTAAACAATATACAATCAATAATAAACCCTTTTATTACAAACTTAAACCTTGTTCCTTCCTCCCCACTTTCCTTATTTATTGTGTATCCCAACTACTATTTAATTACCTACTTTCCTATACCCTATGTGTACTGCCTTCCCCTTCTACTTCTTCTAAATATACCACGTGTCCTCTCTTCTTAATCCCGTCTTCCCATTTCCCCTCCTCTCCATAGAACCATCTTCATTCCTTTCCATCTTTCATTCATATAGGTCATATACTATGTTTCTTATATGCATATTTTATATGCTTTTAAACTGTTTGTTTTTAGTCCCATACAAAATATGTACAAACCACTATATATTCCCTTTGATAAAATGCTCAGTATGTCACCTGTGCGTTTAAATAAGCTGTGATATTGTACGGCCCCAAACATTGCCATCACTACAAGCAACTTCCTGTTAAACAAATAACCATTATAATCATTCAACAACAATTCTGCTTGGACCTGTCTCCAGAGACATAGTTATTCTCATATCTGCCATCTTGCCTCTTGCACAGAATAGTAAAGGTGAGGCCAGGCTGTCACAAGACAGTCTGCACATCAAAGATACCTCTGTCCTTCCTTTGACGGTAAAGTGTCCTTGTTTTGTACAGGGTACAGGGCAGCCATGGAGAGTGGAGATGGATATATCTTATTATTGATCACTAAGGTTGTGTATAGTAGCGCATGAAGGATATGGCACATGCCCAGGGTGCCACTGCCACTTCAAGGGGGGGCACCGCTGACTTTTTTATCTTCCCACCCCTCACCCATAGACATCTCTCCACTCGGCTCTTAGCAACTAGGGACGCTCTGGCCGGCGTCTTGCCCAGAACAAACAGAACTGGTGGGGAGATGATTATGTGGGTGGGACATCGGCCAGAGCGTCCCAGGTTGCTAAGAGCCTGGCAGGAAAATGTGTATTGCCCTTACACATCTCCCAGCCCAGCTCTTAGCAACCTGGGACACTGTGGCCGACTGGCCGGTGTCCTGCCCAGCTCATGGCAACTAGTGACGTCAATGGTTGCCAGGAGCTGGGCAGGACGCCAGGGGTGCAATTTCTGGTAGACGTACCTCTGTTGTTCATCATATTAAAAGTCCAACAGAAAGGTTTGAAAGGTGGGAGAGGGTTAGGTCAAGTTCAGTTAATGTTAAAGTCAAAATTTGCATATGTCTTTAGCTGACAATATCTCTGTATCTACTTATCATTTTGGCATGTTCACAGTGAAGGTTAGACATAGTTTGCATTGCCTAGGTTTCACATCAAACAGCCCTACAAATAAACAGCACACATATAAGTGAAAACCATCTCTGGCTATGGCTTAGAAAGCTACCCCATATGCCTCATTTATTGGCTCAGTCTCACTATTCAGCATCCATTCGCGGTATCATGAAAGACCTTCATATCTGACCTCTCATTGCACACATAGGTAACATATTCTGTAATGGTTCACATGATTCACCGTCTCACATTCAGGATGAGGTGCAACACAAAACCATCACGGATTCGTCCTTCTGTCCGCGCTGTCACCGCCAGGTTGGCAAACCAGACACACGGAATCCAGAATTTATTATGAGGAGAAGAAATGGCCTCAAATTTCACACGTTCCATTGGTGTCATGAAACCTACGGTCAGCAAGCAAGAGAAATATACATTTACATAAAACTACTGTCAACAAAGAAGAGTCCATTGAGATCCACAGTGCATTATGACCATTAGATGGAGCCGAAGAGCATAGGAATTCCTATGTCCTTCGTCTCCCTCTAGTGGCCATAATGTGCTGCAAATCTCGTTTGCAAAGCTGTTCACGGCTACACGGGGCCCATAAAACAGTAGTTTGACATGTCTGCTTTAGACAGTTTGACTTAATTACCTGCTTTTCCAGTCACCCTGCTATATTTATGTCTATAGAATACTCTATATGAGAAACATAAGTGACAATAAACTAAAACAAGTATCAGTCTGCTACCATATGGTCTGGCATATTAGCAGGGCCAGATTTATTCTCCCTGCTGCCCCAAGGCCAGGTTCTGCAATGTGCCCCCCCTACCAAAGCAGGGCTAAATGTAGAAAACAACTACAGGCCTGGTGCCCGGAACTGCATGTCCCGGGCATCGGGAGATAGGAATTCCACACCCCTGCTGCTCCTCTACTCCCTGCTGCCCCGAAGCGGGGCCTTGGTTGGCCTTGTGGGAAATC